ATAGAGCCAAAGATGTTAGAATTGTGTCGATGTCCCAATATTTCTGGACCTGACTGTATATTGGTGGGGTATATGGGACTGAAGGTCTTGCTTATTCCTTGATTTATCCTATATCAGAAGAGGACCACGTGTCCATTTTCTATTCAATTTACATCTCTTTTTGATCTATCTACATCTATCTCACACTTGTTCATGCTTTCTATTATCTTCAGGACTTAGAAAAAGGAAGAGGCAGAGAAGCTGAGAAGCAAAACTGTCAGATATTTTCATGGCTGGTTTGCTTGAAGCACTGTAAAGGTTTGCTTTTCATTCTTAGCAGTTAAAAGAAATTATGCTTAAAACGTGACGTGTGCACAGCTGCTGACAAAGAAATACAGCATGTGTGCATTTCGTGGAAGGATGCACGCTGAATGGTACTGAAAGCTAACAATGTGATGGAGATATTATTCAGGGATTATAAAGCAAAGCATCACACTGTGTAAAGCCCAAGTATAGACTCAGGGTTGGAGAAGAACCAGAATAAGATTCTTCATCAAAGCCTAAATATAATTCCTGATTTCTGACCAACTTTTAATTTAAGGAACAATAATAGTACACAGCTCAGTGTACAATTACCATTGCATCTGGTTGTTCTCCAAAGACAGCAAACTATTAAGCAAGATGTAAAACCCCACACTGAAGCTCATTAAGCAGATAATGTGCATATTTTACAGAGGACTGAATAGTAAGAAGGATATACTGCCTCTTGCAGGATAGCTTCCAGTTACGATCTTTATGACCCTCCCTTTGCACTTGGGAATGAAATTACTTCTTGTATCCATGTTTACTGTTACTCTGTGCATCAACTAGGAAAATTAGTTATGCTGAGTATCGTCTCTACATAAAGTATTTTTGCACCAAAATGGACAAAACCACATTCAGATCCAGACAGAATGGAAGCTATTTAAGTAGCATAAACTAAAATTGATGCTCAGCACGGCTTTGGTCAAGAGATCATAAAACTTGCAAGAGTAAAGTCAAGAAGCCACAAGCAGCAGAACCATTTTGAGATGCACGCACAAACATGCCACGAAGGATGTTTCAAAATACCTCTTTTCATGCAAAATTAAAATTTATGAGCACTGCGGAAAAGTTAAGATGTGCGGGAG